AATAAGGAAATAATACTAGAAAATAGTAATAATATAAAAATAATAATATAATAGGAAAATAGTAATAACATAATAATATTGAAGAAAACGCCTACAAGTAAAATGAATTAATGATTCATTAACCAAAATGAAATAATATACTTACGCTTTTTAAAAACCTATATTACCAAATATTTTTATTGATGTGATGGCCTGTAAGTAAAATAAACTCTGATTAATGTCACATTTAAAAAAAATAAGATAATATTTTACTAACACTATATACCACAACTATCGGGCCTTGCACTTTAAAATAAAATTGAAAGCTCACCCTCACCCCCAAATAATTAAATGGGGGGCAGGGCAATGCTGCATATTCTGAAACACGTTTTGTAGTTAAAATTTTTCATAGTCAAATATTTTCAAAACATACAGTAAAATAAAATAAGATAATAAATAAAACTTACTTGTAAGTAGGCTGGTAGATTTTGTTTAAGAAATGCTGCATTCTGCATCTCTTCGTTATGTTAGAATCTTGGATCCTAAACTACTTAACTTAACTTAATATAATTAACTGCGTGCACTTTTATGTTATATTTTCCAATTTATTACAAAATGTTCTTAATCTTATAAATTTTCTTGTCTGTCACTTTATTTCTTCCTCCTTTTTTTGTCTATATCCTATGTGTTCCTGTAGAGGGAGTTTGTGCAGTTTTTTGAACTTGACTGTTTTGAAAATAATAATACGAAAAATAAAGCTAGAGGCAAGGGCACTGTCGCCCTGTAATAAGGACACGTTCGGCTGCAATAAAACTAATAGAAATAGATTTTGGAAAGTGTATAAATAAAAGAACAGTTTTGAAGTAAAAAGTATAAAGGATAGATTTATAAGGGGTGTTGTAATTTTGGGATAGGTTGCCGGTTCAGGGTAAATTACATGTAGAAATGCCGAAGCGAGGGAAGTTTTATAGAAGGTTATTGTTAATTGAAGAAAATGTAAATAACGTTCAGTGTACTTAATCCAGTTTTTAAAAAGAGTTTTAAACTTTAAACTAACTTTTATTGGATAAATACACTTGTAAATTATATCAATAATGATACACTATATGCGTTAATTACATGATAATAATTGGAACGTTGAATTATGGAACAGCAATACGCTACGTGCGTTAACTGTAATAATAATTGAATAATTAAATCTGAAGAAAGTATAGAAAAATTACTACGCTAAGCATATCGCTGTCTGAGTCTGTTATCCGTGAGAACTGCGTGGGCTAATTTGCTGAGCATAGTCTGTTCACATGCATAACTCGATGTATGAATTCTTAATATGAAACTAGTTAATAGCAAAAATTAATGCTTTTTACAGTGTTCAAGATGTTTGTCATCGATTTCGAATTCTTAATATAAGACTTAATGATAACAGCAATTAATACTTTTTATGGTGTGCAATTGTAATACAATCTGCAGTAAGAATAAAATGTATATTTACCTCTAATGGATACCTACAGGGGGATCACACTTTTCCGATTTATTTTCAATATATAACAAATTAACAAGTAACAGATTGTAATGTTCGTGGGTTTGACAAGTTAGCATTNTATCAATATGATCTGTCAACTGTGAAGTGTAATATAAAAATGCAAGTGTTTTGAACTCTAATAAAACATATTATGTTTCTAAGCCGATATTGAATTCTCGCTCTTCCAATTCTACCAACTATCCAACTTCTAGTAACTATTACTGATTTTTCATTCTTTATGTTGGTACCACTGAATAATTGACACCAGCAGCTCAGGGCATTTCTTTATAATATTGAGAACATATTTAGTGATAATTGTTTCAATTGGTTTTTACCAATCTTTGAATTTAGAAAAAATATTTTTATTCTTTGCTCATAATCGACTGATAAATATACATTAGGATTACAATTAGATCAATATTTAGTTTTATCACCGTTGGCTGCAATACACGATTCCAATCGGGAATTCATACTCCCGATTAAAGACTCCAAATATTTAGGGACCAAATCGTTCCAAATGGTCTCGATTTTGGCCATCCAGTTGTCAATTGAGCGTTCAGTCTCTTTCTCAAGGTTATCTTTCATCAATTTAATTTGTGTAGAGCTCATAGTTAGATCATTGTTCGCCAATTGTGTCACGCGTCGTCTGTCGTTGGCATCGAGTAGTGGAGGCATTCTTTGTCCGGACCTCTGTTCGACCCCTTCACCCGCTCGCACACGCCGGACAGTCCGGTAAACTGTTGCCTGGGATATATCCGTTATAGCCAACAGGTATTGCGGGTCTGTGTGGCCTCTATCCCAGTGCCACTGGAGTGTTCTTTTGGCATCGAGTGCCGCGTTCTTGTGGCCAACTTTGCTCTTGTTTTCCATTAATACTATTGATAATTGTATGGCGTGACACAACAATCGATCGGTAATTTGAATCTCAATTCAAATGTGTGCTTTGTTTGCATGGTAATCATCAAATTAATCAATCAAAAACTAAGTGACATAATTTTATCGCTAAATCTGCTCTCAACTAGTATCTCTCATTTAGCTAGTGCTTCTAGGGATGCTGTGTATCGGTTTTGGAGCATAATGCGTATTTTTTTGTTCAAAACACTTTCATTGTATTCCTTTGGCCGATACACGACATTCTTATGAGAGACGTTTGTTTTCTGCTGGTGGACTTAACGCTATGTGACGCCTTAGGATTTAAGAATGGAGAAATAACTCTTAATTTAGAACTCATTCCTTTAATTTCAGAAATAGAACATTTATTTATAAAATCTGAAGGAACACATAACTTTAAACATTAAATTATTATTGAATAATAAGAACATTTTTTATCATAATCGAACGACATGCTCTGAAAAAAATAAGCAAATTAATATTATCTTCTCCTAAACGTTTCAGCACATCTTCAATTATCTCTTTCTAAGATCTCTCGTATAGGAAGATTCTCCAACCAGCTCTTTAAGGTTACAGCTGAGCATACACTATCTGGTGTTGGGTCTTTCCCAGCCTCATTTAGTATTGATCTTATCCATCCAACGATAGCCGTTCTTGAAGATAGTATTAAGGGACCTGTTAGCGTAATAAAAAAGCCGTCAATCATATTATTCTGTTTCTTCGGCTTCGAGGAGTTTCAAGTGACTGGGCATAGTCTGATGTTGAGATGCTTCAGCAATCTCTACTTTCATTGCCTAAAATTCATATTATCCATTTTGGATCCAAAAGGCTGGCCAAAAAATGATCTCGCCCAGGTTTGTAATGAAATTTTTTGAGATCTTCAATTTTTAATTAATTAATTTATCATCATCAGCATCACCTGATGTTAACAACAAAATCAATGCAGCTCTCCTAGAGGCTTGGAAGAGGTTTAATCTTTTACACAACTTTTCAGCAACCAATCAAACACAATCTGCACACCCTATATCTGATTAACAACTTCTCCTGGTCTGCTTACTGAAACAGCTTTTAGTATCTGGTGGACTAGAAAATTTGAAGATACTCCTTCCATCTCTCCTAAACAAAATGACGCTATCGCTGGCTTATCGACCACTACAAGCTAGACCTTCCAGAAATAGATTTGCTAATAATCTTGCAGCCTGCTGACCTTCTGGATTTCCAGGATGTAATTGTCTCTCCTGACACCATCTTAGTCATTTACGAATCGGAGCTTTATAGGTTTCATCATTGGTCGATTTTCTCCAGCTCTCTTTGATTAAGTCTCTTTCTTCCTGCGACCAGGATTTTTTCCTATACTCAATATTCCACGCTTGCAGTGTAGTCAGATATATTTGGGGTGGAGGTGATCCCGTTGATAAGTTTATTAAAACTACTCTGAGGTTTTTGATCACAATTGGATGCTCCAGGCTGCGATTCTTTAAGTCTGTTACCAGAACATCTTCTCCCATTTTGGGGCTATTAATATGACTTGACTTTGAGCCTTGTTGAGGTGTGCCAACACCTTGGGAATTAAAAAGGGGGGTGGAAACACCCATCCCAAATGAAACACCCGCCTTCGACTGAAAAGAGCTGATTGATCGTTGGATCTAAAGAGACATAATTTTTCATAACAGCCACTTTCTTGAGGCAAACATATTTCAAATTACATTCGGCAGTGCCGCATTTGTCAATGCATCAAAAAGCAGCGAATCACTCGATTCCCGCTTCAACCGCGACAGCTCAATAAACCATGGGATCTGATGGGACTCTATCCTAGGACTTCATGTATGAGGAAATTCATTTTAGTGGTCACGGATCTTTTCTTCTGTTGGATAAGAGCATTTCCCATCAGCGCAGCCACTCCTGCCGTCGTCACCCAACTACCTGGAGCAGGAGGTGCAATCCGTGCAATTATTACGGATAATGGTTCCTAATTTACCAGTTGGAATCGGAAGGCCACTTGCGTAAAATGGAAAGGGCAACATTTGGCAACAGCTACATACCATTCACGAGCGAATCCTACAGAAAAGCGCAACCAGCCTATGGATTTATCTGCAACTAGGCGATCATCGTACATGGGACAAAAATTCTCTTCGACCAGCGCGGCCGAAGGAACGCAGCTACCGGTATCACCCCTTAATACGCACCTTTTGGACGAACATTCCTAGGGCCGGGAGAATGGGATAATTTCACCTATGACGAGGAAGTGGCTAACCTACCCACCTATCAGGAAAGGACGGCTGATATACTAAGACATCAACAGTCTTATCAAAATTAGCGAGCTGCCGCTGCAACCAGAGACTTACATCCCTATGAGCATATAACATGTGTATTGCAGGGAGCAACACCTTTCCAATGCCGAAAACCAGTTTCATGCCGGTTTTGCTCCCCGATGGTTAGGTCCCCACATAGTCCAGGAGTTTTTGAATGATGCACTGGGGAGCCACTGATGTCCGCTACTTGTTGGTGGAGAGTTCAACTCAAGAATTGATACTTTAAATGAAATAAACCTATACTCACACAAAATACATCTTTTGAGGAAACAAAAACATCACTCGATAAGACAATTAACAACAATGGAAGACTACTCCTTGGAAGGCTGGAAAAGTTGGTACTATGTGTACTGAGTGGCAGGTCGAAAACGGGTACGCTTGGCGAAGTTGCGTTTATTAGACCAATGGGAACAAGTGTAATAGATCAGGTTTGGGTAAATACGTCAGACTTATCGGGTCATAAAAAGGGTGGAAAAATACGAGTGCGAAGAAGATTTAAAAGTCAGTCTGCCTCTACGAATAATCAGTATGTATGCCCAACTGAGATTGGCAGGAAACAAGATTTTGAGATCCACTTATAACAATATATCTTACGTGTGGGGCATGAACGAAACTATGTACTATATGCAATTTACAATACAACATATTTTCAAAGCCTGCTCGATACTAGTTCACTTAAGAGAAGTATATATATTTGTAGATTTTTTTATTAAATCAGCATGAAGATATTTTATTTTATAGGGAATTTTTTAAAAACCCGCTCCTTTATGTTAAATGAATAGACAACCCAAATCTCACAATCAAATGTTTTAAGTGATAAGTAAAATCTCAAATGCTTGTATATGCTTCTAGACATACTTAATGAGGAGGCCAAACTTGATTTGGCAAATTGTAATAGAACTTGTTAAAAAAAATACAATAAACAAAATCTACCGTTAAAACCAAGCGGTTAGGCCGACATCTTTTTTTCGATTTTTCCTCTCCTCTTATCTCGAAATGGGACCCTAATCTTCCATATATTATATAAAAAAATTACTCTATATTAGTTGAAAAGTTGATGTATCAGGCGGCAGAAGGTTCGAACGATATGTTTTTTGCATGTTAGCTCCCTGACTAAAATGTTTGAGGTGTTGCGGTAGTTGGAAGACTCAATGCTGAGTATTATTGCGCACAATTCGCTCTTATGCCGTAAATGGAAAACTACCATGTATTATATATATATATGTATATTTGGGTGCGAAAACCATTTCTTACCCTAGTTTTGGAGGTTTTAAAAGAAAGCAAGTAAAACAACCAAACCAACTGAACGAATTAATAAAAAATATGGATTTTTTGTGGGTTCACAATGCTGAAAACAAACAAAAAAGTACAAGGCAATGACAACATTTACTTCATGAGTGCACCTTTTCCACCTAACCTAACCCAACCTACCGAACAATGCTTTTATTAGGATCAATTATGGAAGCGAAACACTCACTGAAAGATAACACTTACGGTGAGTGTTTGTCGTTGCCATGTATTTGGCTTATTTACAGCAATGTGAATCCACAAAAAAATCTTTATTTTGGATTTATTTGTTTAGATGTGGGTTCGGTTTGGTTGTTTTAATTAATTCACCAAAACTAGAGGGAGGGGTGTTTTCTGCGTTCAACATATGATAGCAGGAATAAATCAGGACGAAGGAATTAAAATAATTAGTGATGAACTTATCGGTTATTTGAATTACAAAAAAAAAGAGTTTGTATAGGAAGTCTTGAGAAGGTGATTGAATGTCAATAAGTAAGTAGTAATATTTTCTTTAATTGTACATTGTTATTAACTATCACTTTCTTAATTGCTACCTTTATAATTTTTAATTGTTAGCGCATTGTTTATGTTTGTCGGGCATTATTTGTTAGTTGATAGGTAATTTGTTACTGTTGACTATGTTTGAAGCAAACTATCGAAATTTTCATGGTTTACTGCATTTTAGAGAGAATCGAAATTGTCAGTAGTGAAACTGCTTGGGTAACTACAAGAATTTTAATCGAAGACATTTTGATAGGAACCGCTCCACGTCTACGTAAAAAAATTGATATCGATATTTATGGAGACTGGATCCGTCGCTAACGAAAAACATGAAAGACGCCACATTGTTACCAACGAAGGGTGCAGAAGTTACAATTTTGGGACATGCTGAGTAAATTAAAGCACCAAAAAATTATAATCTGTTAGTAATTCCACGTAAGTAGTAATACAGTGTCGCAGCTGGGACCGAGGATGACCTGTCCATCCAGTTCTGACCATCCTCCAGTTCTTCGGCGCCTTTGGAGGTCATTCTTCAGTTGAAGAAGGTCATTCTTCGGCTGTAGAGGAAGAAGGTCATCCTTCGGCTAGGCTGCAATTATTTTTATTATTAATTGTCGTCATGTTGTAGTATTAGTCGCTTTTACTATTTGTGGATATTTAAAAAAGATGGAATTATTTAAATGAAACGTAATAGTTGTTCCACACTGTAGGTGGGTAATAATATTGGTCGGATGATATTGCAGCTGGTGCTGCTGCGCTGCTGCTACGCTGTCTCATCTTACAAAAATTCTAGGTATGTACAGTTCGAACCATCAATGGTGGTTATTCGAACCGAATACGACGACCGACCCACCGACCTAACGCAGTCTAATAAATCACGAACTTGCCCTTCCTTGTCGTTCGATGCCTGGTAAATGATATCCGCTTATGAGAACGAATGGTTTCCTAGTCGCATATTATTATTATCGTAGTTCGTATGTCATCGACGACACTAAATGCTATGATATCTCCTCTGCTACAACCGTTTTTCTAACCATTATAGGTTTATTTAGAATACACACAGAATGTTTGAAATGGTGAAAGTTACTTTTCTTGCAATATTACTTGTTTTATAACAATTGTTATCGATGTATAAACGAACCAAGCGAATCTTGTGTCACCAACACAATGCTTTTCGATAGTCGCGAAATAAACTGAAAAAAAACTCAAAGGTATGCAAAAAAGAAATGCATTCTATTCTTCAAACTTTCTATGCCTTTCCTCAAAATTTACAAACATACCATGGTAAAGAGTATTATAATCGTCATTTTAAATCTTTAATATTATACAACCGAACCTCCCGGACCGCTACCTTCCCTTGACTACCCTCCTCAGGATGACCATCTTTCCGACATCGATTTCTCCGTCAGAGACGTCGAGGAAGTCCTTCGCTTCTTGGACAGCTCTGCCTGCAGTGGCCCAGACGGCATTCCATCTGTCGTTCTTAAGAACTGTGCGGAAACCCTCGCACCTTTTCTTCACACACTCTTCAGGCAGTCTCTGGACAAAGGTACCATCCCGGAAAACTGGAGGACGGCCACGGTCACTCCGATCTTCAAGAAAGGTAGCAGGCACTTGGCGAGTAATTACAGGCCTATTAGCCTCACCAGCGCCACCTGTAAAGTCCTGGAGCGCCTGCTTGCAAAGGAAATCCTAGAGTTTGCGTTGCAGAAGGGAATCATTCCCCCCCAACAACACGGTTTTGTACCTGGGCGCTCAATCAGCTCTAACATGCTTCTTTGTCTGGACGATTGGGCCAAAGCGGTGGACTCTGGGATTCCTGTGGACATTGTCTACCTCGATTTCTCGAAGGCTTTTGACAAGGTTCCACAACGACGGCTGCTCCAGAAGCTACACCATCTGGGAATCAGGGGCAAACTTCTTGCCGGGATCGAGGCCTACATGCGTGACAGGACCTTCCAGACAAGGATTGGTGACCGTCTCTCCACCTCTAGGTCGGCTCCGAGTGGGGTTCCCCAGGGCTCTGTTCTTGGTCCCCTGCTTTTTAACCTTTACTCATCCGACTTGCACGTGCGAACAACATCCTAGCACCAGGCATATGCGGATGATAATAAGATTTATGGGAACCCACTGACCCACGGTGACTCCATCCAGCAGGACCTTGACAACCTGGCTCTGTGGTCCCACGATTGGATGATCCCCGCTCAACCCGGGGAAGTGCACTGTCCTACACCTAGGGAAGAAGAAAAACCCACACAGGGTATACCATCTTGGAAACCTGGCGCTGGCTCCTGTTACCTCTCAGGTAGATCTAGGCATCATCGTGTCTGATGATCTTAAATGGGACCTACAAACCACCGCCGTAGTAAAGAAAACCAACTCCTTCCTCTATCGTGTCCGCAAAGCCGTTGTGGAGGTGGACATCCCGCTCGTACGGAATGTACTGACCACCTACGTACTTCCGATAGTCGAATACGGGTCCACTGTCTGGGCTCCGTACCTCCAGAAGGACATCAAGGCTCCGGAGGGTATCCTGAGACGCGCTTCGAAGATACCCAGAACACTGAAGTCCTTGCCATACGAGGAGCGCCTGAGACGGCTTGGGCTGCAAAGCCTGGCAGACAGGTGCCTTTTTGCTGACCTCACGGAGACCTATCGTATCCTCTACGGTATGTACCGTGCCTCCGACCTGCAGAAGATCTTCCTCAGGTCGACGTCGCAACGGGGTCACAATCTGAGGTTGAACGTGTCGCGTTTCAAAACGCAACACCGAGAGCACCACCTGGGCAACAGGGTTATCTCTACATGGAATTCTCTTCCGGCGAGCATAGCCCAGGCCCCGAGCATCGATATCTTCAAGTCGTCTTTGCACCGTCACCTGTTTGGATCTACGAGATGAGCTACCAGGACACTCCCCCCTCTCAAATGATCTCCTACACAGTTTTGTTCTCTATAATTTGTATTTTCTGAAATGTAGACTACTATACCAGTTTGTAACTGCTGCCTACTTCAAATAAATAAATAAATAAATAAATAAATAAATGGAAAAACATAAAATTAATCATTATAGCAGTTATTTAGTAAAAGGTATCCATTGTTGAGCGGGTAATTAGAACTATTAAAACTAAATTATTTAAAGCACTTCACTATAGAGGTTCATATTGGTGGATAGACGTAATTGATGACGTTGTTAATGAATACAATGGTCCCGTGCATCAAACAATAAATATGACGCCATCGAAAGCGATAAAAAAACAAAATGAAAAGTACTTGCTTGATACTGCTTATAATCACATTAAAATGGTGGATGAGAAATAAATTTCAAATGGGTGATATTGTACGAATAAGTAAAGCTTAACATATATTTTCAGTCTTACTCACCCAATTTTACAACTGAGTAGCAAAAATTAAGTATACTTATCCTTATAAATATTTATTGGAAGATTTAAATGGTAATCCTATAAGTAGAGGTTTTTACAACGAAGAAATATAGAAAACCAAATATTCAGATGTATATACTTAGTTGAAAAAGTTTTGAAACGTAAAAATAATAATCTTCTCGTTAAATGCTTAGGATTTTCGGAAAAACATAACAGTTAGATATTGTATGAAAATTTTATTCATATTGGATAATTTGTACATAATATAAATAAATAAAACAAACGTTGCTATTATTTTTAGTTTTATTTTAATAAGAATAATAATAATAATAATAATAGCAACAACGGCGTCGTCGATCAGTCAGTCGGTAATTATTATTTCGTAGTCGCGAAGAATAGCCATCTGTAGTCGTTCGGTGCTGTTTGTTGGCAAGACTCGGCCAGCTACGAACTTGTTTATCAGTGAAGTTCCTGCGATAACAAGGCGATGCCAGTTCGCCTCGCCTCACTTGAGTGCTCAGTATTAAGATAGACTTTTGTACTTTCGTGCGTTTGGAAGTTTTGCCGTATCGTTTATCGCATGGTCAGGCTGCTTGTAAACTGTACACTGTACATACAAGTGAAGCAACAGTCCCATACTAAACGATAGAGTTAGTGGTGGTGCATTGCTTTTGCTTCTGGCCACTTTGTAAAATGTACACCGTGTTATTACTCGTCCGTCTTCCTCCACGGTCAACACCGTACCATGTATAAACTACCGCACCGGTTGAATTACAACGGAATGCATCATATTACGTTGGTGAATCACATCCGAACGATTTTTCCATTACACGCGTGCTTAACAACCTCAGTCCTTCGGTCTGTTGTCTCCGTTGTCGCCGTCTCGTAAATTCGTTCGTACTTATTACATTATTTGTTGCCAGGGAGAAATAAATTCGCGTTTTAAAACACCCGAGAGTTAAATGTTGACCGTTGTGAGTTTTTCATAAAACAGGAATAGGTGGAACAATCATGGATGGCAATGTGGTCGATAGTCCGACGAACGTTAGAAGTGCCGTCGACTTCTTC